CTTCCTTGTATATATATTATATGAAAACTAGATCAGGACAATTACATTTGATTTTACAACTGAATACTGCTCCATTTTCTTGCAGCTGACATACGGCTCATTAGCCCAAGAGGAATTTGAAAACAGTAAGTTCTCTTCACTTTATTTCATGGTCCCAAAAGAGGATCATCAGTACATTGGGATTATCCAACTAATTCACCATTTCAGGTGGACCTGGATTGGGATTTTTGCTATTGATAACGACAATGGAGAAAATTTCTTACAGGAAATGCAGCCCTTACTTGCAAAGAATGGAATCTGCTCATCATTCATACAAAGGCTTTCACGAGTACACCCGGAACTCTTCTCAGAAATTTATCAAACAATCTCAACTATTTCATGGAATTGGATAAATAGCAAAGCCAATGCATTTCTTGTCTATGGAGAAGCATTGACAATTATGTGGCTAAGAATTTTCACATTTATGGTAGATCCTGAAAGAAAGGAAATTTCATTATTTAGAAAGGTATGGATCATGACTGCGCAGATTGATTTCGTATTATCAGGATTCCAAATCAGTTGGGATCTCCAGATGTTTCATGGGGCTATTTCATTCACTGCTCATTCAACAGCAGTTGTAGGTTTCAAGGAATTTCTTCAGATCGTAAATCCTCTTTCAGTCTACAGAGATGAGTTTCTTCAGGAAGTTTGGGAACAATTATTTGATTGTTCATTTCCAAAAGCAGAATTACAAGAAACGCAGAGTAGGCAGTGCACTAGCGAGATGAAGCTAGAGGATCTTCCTGGACCTGCTTTTGAAATGGAAATGACTGGCCAAAGCTATAGTATCTACAATGCTGTTCATGCTGTGGCTCATGCTTTGCAAGCTGTATACACATTACATTTCAATAGAAAAAAAACTATGATGTATAAAAATCCTGATCTTCCACATCTCCAGGCTTGGAAGGTATTCCCTTTTTATTGGACATTTCTTTTATTTCAATAAGCAGTTTGAGATAGAATTATATTTTGAACCCATTGTGTAAAGTCTTAATGTTTTCTGCATTTGGAATCAAGCTTGAGAAGACAACTTAGAAATAAGTTGGAATTTCCTGATGGTGAGAACAATTAAAAATGAATGAGTGGAACAGCTTGCCTTCAGAAGTTTTGGATGTTCCTACACTGGAGATTTTTAAGAGAAGGACTGCCATTTATCTGAAATAGTATAGGATTAAAAGACCTTCAGGTCCCTTCTGACTCTGACATACTGTTCTTTTTCTACAGAAAAAGTAGTTTCTCTTATTATTCTGGTCATCGAGAAGCTACTGTATAAATTATGGTTTATATGTCAGCAGACTTTATTTACTAAATCACCATACATTGCACAATATGAGCTAGTTAAAGTGATAATTTAGATTACTTGTCATTGCTTTCTCCAAAAACAATCAATTCCCCCAAAACTTTGTGTGGCTCATGAACTTTTCAGGGGTAAAAAGCTGAGCTTCCTATCTCTATCAGAGCTTTAGAGGAATGAAATAAAAATGGTCCTTTTTAGATGAGACATCCATAGTATGAAACATGAAACATGTTTGCAATAATCTCTATCTTGCATCTCTCTAGGGAGGAATGCTTGGATCTCAGATTCTAAAAACTGGCTAAAGGACATTAGTCAGACCTCAGACTGTCAAATAACCTTATATCAATGAGGAAAGATTAGATATGATTTATCTTGAATTAATTGTTTAAATAGTGAACCTAAAACAAAATTAAAAGAAGTTACAAAAGGCCAGAATCTTTTTTACTTTCTGTTTCAGTTCATTCTTTCCTTTCCTTACATTAATATTAAATTAGGTATATAGTTTGAACATGTACATTATCATGCAATATTGATTATCCAAATTCTAAGCACACATATTTAATAATAGTTATAGCAATTGGAAGAATGATTGAATGAAACTTTAATACGACTTTCTCCTCTCTATTATATAGCTCTCAACATTCCTCTCTCTTTCATTCTCTTTCAAGTAGCTCCATCCATTTCTACAAGGCATTTCTTTTAACAACTCAGCTGGGGAGAGAGTGTTCCTGAATGAGAAAGGGGAAGCAACAGGTGGATTCGACATCACCAATTTGATTACTTTTCCAAACAGGTCCTTTCAGAGAGTTAGAATTGGAAAGTTGGATCTACAAGCTCCAAAAGGGAAGGAATTATCCATGGATGAAGATTTGATTGTCTGGAGTCCAGCTTTTAACCAGGTATTGAATTAATGAATCCACCATGCCTTAATCCATTAGGATCCCATATTGAACACAGTCTCTTTAGAAATCTAATACCTGGATTTTTTTTAATAAACAATGGCATATTCCTTCAAATGTTGTTGGTGATCAATGATTCGTCAGATTGACAAAGGTGATATTATAATGTAAAAGCCATGGTTGCATATTTGTTGTGCATTTCCATCTGAAATCAGAAAAATCAGAAACTGTTTTTAAAACCCTCCTTTTCAAAACATTTTTTTAAATTTATGGTAAGGTTCTTCCATTTTCTCGATGCAATGACCCTTGTTTCCCTGGGGACTGGAAGAAAGGGATTGAAGGGGATCAGTTCTGCTGCTATGACTGTGTTCCATGCCCAGAAGGGAAGATTTCAAATCAAAATGGTATGGTAGGAATTCTACTAATTTTCATTAGACTTAAGCAAACTTTAATATACAAGTTTAGGATGTATAAAACTACTAAAATAAGTTTCACTGATTTGGAATACCTAGATAACAAATTTCTTTCTTTCCTCCCAGATATGAATGACTGTTTTGAATGTCCAGAAGATCATTATCCAAATAAAGAAAAGAATGGATGTATCCTGAAACGGGTGGTGTTTCTAAATATTGAAGAACCCTTAGGAATTGGTTTAGCCTTATCAGCTCTTGGTTTCTTTTTCTTGACATCCTGGGTACTTGGAACTTTTATTAAGCACAGGGACACTCCCATTGTCAAAGCCAACAACCGGTCCCTCACCTACACCCTGCTTGTTTCTCTTCTGCTCTGTTTTCTCTCTTCTTTGTTTTTCCTCAGCCAACCTGGTAAAGTGACCTGCCTTCTCCGACAATCAACTTTTGGAACCACATTCTCAGTGGCTATTTCTAGTGTGCTGGCCAAAACCATCATTGTGGTTGTTGCTTTCATGGCCACTAAACCGGGATCTCAGATGAGGAGATGGTTAGGGAAAAGATTGGCTTTTTCTACTGTCCTTTCCTGCTCCTTTTTCCAAGTATGTATTTGTATTCTTTGGTTGTCAACATCTCCACCATTCCCTGAGTTGGACCTGCACTTACAGCTCCAAGAAATTATTTTCCAATGCAATGAGGGGTCAGCTTTCTTCTTTTATTGTGTATTGGGCTATATGGGTGTCTTGGCCATTGCCAGCTTTATTGTAGCTTTTCTTGCCCGTAAATTACCTGACAGCTTTAATGAAGCCAAGTTCATCACCTTTAGCATGTTGGCCTTTTGCAGTGTGTGGATCTCCTTCTTTCCAGCCTATCTGAGTACAAAAGGAAAAGCCATGGTAGCTGTGGAGGTCTTTTCCATCTTGTCCTCCAGTGCTGCATTACTGGGATGCATATACTTGCCAAAATGCTACAACATTGTTTTCCGGCCTGAACTAAACCAAAGGGAGCATCTCACAAAGAGAAATTAGTAACCCATGTGACTTTTCTCACTAGGAGAAATTGCTAACAAACAAGAATAGCTAGTCCTAGTGTCCATAATTACATAAGGCTTTCATTTAGGTAATTTGATTTCACATTTTAATGAAATGGAAAAATGAATTGAAGTACCTATTAAAATAGCTAGAGTTATTTTCTGTTGCTGATCTATTGATGATAGAAATCAAGATATTCATGTGCAATTTTCACCTCTTCACAAAATCAAAGATTGTTTTTAGTAGAATTTCAGGGAAAAAACCTGATATTTGGGCCATTTCCATTCAGGTTTCTCTATAATTCAAAATGTAAAAACAGGATATTAGTTTATGTACGGACATCTCTTGTGGGAAGTGATAAAGAGTAAAGACAGAAATTCATACCATGAAATTCTGATCTAAATCTTAGAGTTGGAAGTGATTTTAAAGACAAAGAAACTCAACACTCTTTCTAGGCCAGGTTATTCTCTAGGTGCTCTGAGATTAATATTATATCTGTATTTCCCCTCACTACATTTGTTTCTCCTCTCATTTTTCATTTATTTTAATTTTTGATTAAGGACTGTGATGTCCTTAATCAAAAAAGGAGAAAAAAATAGATCCATGAAATTATAGATCAATCAGCCTGACATCAATACCTGGAAAGATCTTGGAAAAAGATAATCAAGCAAGAAATCTTCCAACATCTTGAAACAAACAAGGTTATAACCTGTAGCAGAATAACAGAATAACAGAGTTGGAAGGGACTTTGAAAGTTTTCTAGTTCATGCCCCTGCTCAAGCAACATGGGTTCATCAAAAAGAGGTCATGCCAAACAAATCTTATTTCATTCTTCAACAAAGTGACTAAATCAATGGATCAGTGAAATATACTTAGATCAGTGGTGGCGAACCTATGGCACGAGTGCCAGAGGCGGCACTTTGAGCCCTCTCTGTGGGCACACACATACCGTTGCTCCAACCTCGCCTCCCCCCACGACCCCCACCTCTCCAGCAGCCCCCCTGAATGAGAGTCGCCCTTGAGCGTGGCCCATATGAAGCAGTGCAGCCAAGGACATGGCAGCCAGGCAACGTAGACAAGACTCTGCCCTCACACCCCATCATGCACAGTTGATGCTGCAGGGCACAGGGAAGAGGGCGTGATGGCCATAGCGCTGCTGGGCTGCCTGGGTGATCTGCGGCGGGCCCTGGAAGTTGTGAGTGGCCCTGTGGGCAGGTGAGGTGGGGGATGGGGGCAGGGGGTGGAGCGAGGCGGGGCCAGTTTTTGGGCTCTCGGTCTCTAAAAGGTTCGCCATCACTAACTTAGATATTGTGACTTGGGCTACATGGATATCTTAGCTCTTGCCAGCTTTATGATGGCTTTTGTTGCCCGTAAATTACCTGACAGCTTTGATGAAGCCAACTTCATCACCTTCAGCATGTTGGTCTTTTGCAGTGTTTGGTTCTCCTTTTTTCCAGTCTCTCTAAGCACAAAAGGAAAAGCTATGGGTTGCTGTGGAGGTCTTCTCTTTCTTGTCCTTCAGTGCTGCATTACTGGGATGCAGATTTTAGCCAAAACCTACACCATTGTTTGCTGGGCTGACCTCAACCACAGGGAGCAACTCACAAAGAGAAATTAGTATAACATGTGATCTTTCTGGCCCAGAGAAATTAGTGACAAAAAAGAATAAAGCACTACATAAATATAGTAAGAACTGTTTTTGTCAGTTTATTAATGTGTATTGAGCATACTATTATATGATAGCAGGTTTGAATATTTTAGGGCTCTTGAAATGTAGAATGTATTGAGTTTGTGAATCCTGTACATTTAACTGCATTTTGAAATAGGTGTTCATGCTGGGTCATAACCATTCACTCCATCAAGAAATCCATTTCCAGAGCAACCTATTATCATATATTAATAATATGGGAAATGTAGTGAAATGAAATGTCTTCTTCCTTTTGTCTCATCCTTCATTCAAAGTGTATGGTGACCAATGACCATAACAAAGAGTGATTTGAATGGGTTTACAATAAGGAGTATGGCATTTGTCAAGAAAATCACCTAAAATTTAGCACAAATCCTAGAAAAAATTGTACAGCCCTCTCTGATATAGGGAGAGACTACAAGCATGAAAAACCCAAAGGAAAATTTGAATATTCACTTGATGTTGATAATAGATAGGTATATAAGTATGTAGGTAGAAAAGTAGATAGACAG